GCTTCGTTTCGATGCTTCATAGACTAATAAGATTTCCAATGGTTGAATAAACTCATTTGAGGAAAAAGTGAAATTCCGATGTCCTTGAATACAATTTGATGCTTTATCAGTAAATCACCTAAAGGTGAAATATAGAATCTCAAATTTCAGACTGTGTATACTAGTAAGTTGTCACTAAGACGTGATAAGACCGTAAAGTATCATCTAATCCAATTATCAACCTGTGGTATCATTTATATTTGTTGTTGCCTCGGTAGGCTATTGTCACTGTTCTTGAAACAGTATGAAATTTCATTTATTCACACATGAAATTCAACAAATGAATTATTGTGTTCAACTTTTTGAACAGATCCACTAAAACGATTCTTTAAACCACAGACTTAAAGCTCTGATTTCTATAATACATTGATTTTCTGAATATATTGTCAGCATCGAATTAGCTTTATAATGTTTGATTAGCTGTAAAAATTGAATTAAGTTAGTAAGAGTATAATAATTAAGATTTGACACTCACTGAAACTTACAAAGCTCAATTTCAACGTACACAATCAAAAATTTATTTGTTATTGTAAACTTGGGCGACTAATATGAACTACTATGACGTTTTAAAATACTTGTAAAAAAAATTCACTATTATCTTTGCTATAATTGTCGCTAACCACAATATAATTAATGACCAACTGAACCCGTGATAGTCATGAAAATGATTTCAGTGATTGTAAATTAAGATAATCTTTTTACCAAGATAATGTGTCCTGTTAACAGATTTAATTTCAAATATTCTACATGGAAAAATTCAATTCGAGACTATTGTTTAAATAGCATTACGGGGTTGTGAAGATTGTTAAGTTACACATATCTTTTTGAAACCATGAATCGATCAATGTTAGACCACCATTCGAAACCTGGAAGCACTGGACGGCCGTTTCGTCCTGGTATGGGACTCCTCAGCAAAGCGCATATCAGGAAGAAACGGCCATCCAGTGCTTTCAGGTTTCTAATGGTGGTCTAACATTGGTCGATTCATGGTTTCAAAAATGTATAGTTTAAATAAACTTGTAACTGCCTAATAAATTTATCTTCCAGTAAATTTCACTGTCAGAATGGAACTGCCAAAAGCAAAATGCTCATCCAGCAAAGTGATCCATTAATTTTTATTAAAAATAAATAAATAAATTCTGATTGAAATCAAACATTTTTTCAGAGTTAAAATAAAATAGAATTTAAAATTGACAAATTTAATCATACCCTGAAGATATATCACATGTGTAATTTAAGCATTAAAATGAAACAGTCACTCTAAAATATTAAGTGATATACAAAAATAGAAAATATAAATTTATTCATATTTTCAGACAAAAATATAATAGAATAGAAAGAGTTAACTAAAGAAAAAAAAATAAAAAACCTAATTTATTCGTTACACGAATATTCTATCAATTCAAGCGTATTATTAATTCGTGCCTTTCTCTTGGTTGAATTTTACGCTTAATTGACTAAAACATCAATGTGAGAAATATGCTTTCTATATTTCAAAGATTCCTGTTTTATTACAAATAAGTGATTGCTTTGATTGGCTTGCTTTTTAGCATTATTAAATGCATTGTTTTAATTTTTCATAACTGTTTAACACTCCCACTATTCGCCTTTTTTTTCAATGAATGAAACGACATATATATATATATATATAGTTTAAAGATATCACCTAATGACGTAGTAGTCTTTAAACTTATCATAAATTGAATGCTCACAGAAGAATTGTATAAAATATCTTGTTTTGCAGAAGAAAAAAAAGAACGCTTTGTCTATTAAATAGAAAAAAGAAAAAAAACAAAATCAAATAAACGCAAAAGAAAATTAAACGATAGTAAGAGAAGAGGGAAAGGAGTCAAGTAGGTGGAGATGAATTAATATCACTTCGTATCTTCTTTATAGGCTTACAAAAAACATTTACAAATAATTAATCAATGAGAAAATGCTGTTGTGTAACAAACAATACAGGCATAATTAATGCTTATTAAATAATCATGATATCAGTATGAATGATAACATAAATAGCTTTAGGTATTAATGAAAATCATCATACATATATATGAAAAGTCATTGTACAACTTTAGATAAAACAAAACACACTATGTAAATATGGGAAAAGTGTATCGTAAATAGGAAAAAGCAAACAATCTAATTGGGTGATATTCAATGATCCAACTTTATTTGCATTACGGGGTTGTGAAGATTGTTAAGTTACACATTTCTTTTTGAAACCATGAATCGATCAGTGTTAGGCCACCATTAGAAACCTGGAAGCACTGAACGGCCATTTCGTCCTGGTATGGGACTCCTCAACTTTATCTAGAATAATGTTGTAAGTTTATTTTGATTTTATACAGAATAAATGCTTGAAAAAAATCAAAAATCAGGCCAGTTACATGATAATGTTATTGTTTGATTTTCAAGTATGTGTGTGTGTGCATACGTGTTTAACGTGATATAGTTTCTGATATTTTTATAAGGTGACATTATGTAGTTGAGAGGTTAATATTTCTTTGAATGAAATAAAAAACTACATGCATGATATATTAAACATAAATTTTGGTCACCAAGACAAAATTGGAACAAACAGATGGTTAGTTTAAGTAGGTTATAGTGATCATCACCACATGACACGAATTTCAATGCTTTAGGGCAGTAGCAATAAGTTTCGTTTGAGTAGTTATTCTTTCTTGTTTTTTTTACATATAATTATTTATAGATGATTTATTAATAAACAAGTAAAGAGCGATTAAAGTAAAATGATAAATTAGTGTTAGAATGAGATGTTTAATTACATTCATTATCGATTTCAACTCGTTGATACTTTATGAAATTATGACTGAATAAACTTGCATGGGTTTGTTCATCGATAACTACCATTATGATTGATTCACTTGTAAGGCTTTGTATCTGCTTGTTCTCGGTGTTAAAGACTGCAACTAGTCAGTCTCTCTTTGGCTATAAGCGTATTTGCTTGACACTACCAACAGTCCCAAGCATTTTTAAACAAAGCTGATCAGTGTGTAGTAATGAAATCCAGGACGCGGGTTTCGTATCATTTGGCAGTCATCTTAGTCGAGTTTTGGTGTTCATAATGGCACTAGAATCCCATGCTTTTCACTCTAAACACTATCACATTACCCACTTAGCTACTGAGTTTAGATAAGCACTGGCTTGCGTAATGGTAACACGTTATAATTTGAAGCGATATGCTCTGGGTTCGATTTCCACCATAAACAGCAACGCTGGGATTTAGGTACGTTTAAATAAGACGAATCGAGCGTCCTATATTCCATTATTAGCCGCTCTCCTCATTGCCTAAATCTATTTACGATATCAATGAATGATGAAGAAAATTTAGTCTCCAGTTATTTTTCGACGAACACAAAGTAATGCAACTAACAATGGAAATTAACTATTATCAATAATAATAATAATAATAATAATAATGATTCAACTTGCTATTCATGTGTATGCCTTTCTGTAAGTTATTTCTTCAACATCGCTTTTCAACACTGATCTTATTATGCAAGTTACAATTAATTACTTGGAAATTTAACGGTTTCCAATAAACTATCTTGTAAGCTACTAAGTTCAGTTGTAATAAAAATAAATTAATAAGAAACACAAGGTAAACTTCTTAAGGTAGAAACTGTAAATCGATGGTACGAATTCAAATTAAGAAGGCCATATACATGAACTAGCTGAAAATCAAATCAGTTTACTTAGGGAACCGGCTATGAAATTGAATTATTTATTGCATTACAAGGTTCAACCAGAAAGGACTTCTCTTCTAGCGGCCCCTTAATAACCGCCTTTTCGTAGTATAGCACAGTAGCAATTATTCGACATGAACAACGCGTTACTAGAACAGACACATGATTAGGAAATCATATTGATTGCATATAATTTAAAAACTATGGAAGTACTTACCTATTGACAAACAAATGCTAATACATATTTTCGGAACTGCTAATTAGATTTACATCTAAACGGGCACATTTATAACAGTAATATTATGGATGACAATTACTTTTTTAAGCCTGTAAATTATAGCGAGAACAGGTAGAATGTGGATAGCAGTGGAATTTAGGACGCGCGTTTCGTTCTATTCGGGATTTTTCAGCTGAATTTACCTGCACCTCAGAGTTGATATTCATTCTGTGACTCGAATCTAGTGCTGTTCTCTTCAAATGCCATCGCGTTATCCACTTAGTGACTAAATCCAGGTAACCACTCACTTGTGTTACGTGTATGAAATTTAAATCTCAACTCCAAATTATAGTTCTAATTTATTGTGTTGTTAAGGTCCGGATATGAACTCGTTGTTTTTTAAGTATTAACAGCAAAAGTTGTTTATTGAATAGTACTTCCATTTCACCCCGACAGATGAATTTAACACTTTTGAATAAGAAGTCAGAGTTCTTTCTAGTATAGTTCTTATCGTGAAAATTTTCAGGATGCAGAATAAACAGTGAGTTATAGAACTTCTCTTTTTTATTAATTTCTGATCTTGTCAATAAAATGCAATGTAGGAAAGAACTCAGTCACTTTTTTTTACATAAATATTGTGAAAATCGATTTTATAATTCATTTAGTTTTTGTTATTCACAGATTGTGAAGTATTTTACTAGCCCTTCTTCTTAACAAGTACACACAACAATTTCTAGTAGGATTAATCATTAAATAATCTTAGTTACTACCTCAACAACCACTTATTAAATGAAAAAAATGAAAAATTTTGGATTTAATTTTTTTGTTAGTTCAGTGTTAATCAGATAAGTCAACTACATTAAACTATATTTTCTTGGATTCATTGATAACAAAAGTTTCAATTAATCACGCATTTTTACAATGATGTTCAAAATAATAATGCTTCCATAGATATTTGGTTTTGGCTCTTTAAAATTGTTTATCAGTTTAATATAACACTGATAGTAACAGTACGTCCGCCAATGACGAAAAATTCATTGACTATCAGAAGTGTTTTCAATGAAAATACATTCTTTGAATATTGTTTTATCTAGTTTTTGAATTGATGTATTGAAAAGCAAGAGTTGATTGCATCTGAAAGTCAAAATAATTCATAAAAATATTAGGGAGTAAAAAATCAGTAACGAGAAAAACCATATTGAACTACGTTGTTGGTGACACAAACTGTCCTTATTACGAAATAGAATCTCATTATAAGATCTGTTGTTTCGATTTCAAGCACATGACCCTGAGAAGCAACAAATGATGTAATCAATAACGATGAAAATTTTTTAGAGTATACTAAAGAAATACGAGGAAAAGGTCAAGATAACATGATTGCATAGACGCTGATGAAGGTAGCATTTCCAAACAGACAAAATGTAGCCATAATTAAAAATAGATTAAAGGATATTTAAATATATTATTAGGGGATTCTTATAGAAGACTAATATAGCCATTTTCTCCATGATTGATCATAAACTGATTTGTTTGAAAAATTTCTTGTTATGATTAGCAAACTACCACTTAGTTGTTACGTTATTCGAAAAGGCCTCTTGACTTTTTGTTTCAGACTAATCTTGTTAAATGAACAGCCCATAATTCCATTTGTTTCTGAAGAAAATCAGAGTTCCGCCCTCCCGTTAAAGCGACTTAATGTGTCTAATTTTTCAATATTTAATTAACAGGAATATATCTCACCTTGATATATTATTAGGATGAGTGATCCATTCGTATTGGGTTAATTGCAATCTTAATTGTTTTTGAACAGACTCAATCGTTTCTCTGTTGGATACTTCTGATGCATCAACATTATTAAAGAGTAGTATCATTCTCAATAAGTTCAACTCAGTGATATCGGGCTATCAAAATTGTAAAAAAAATAAGAATCAACAGTGTATTCCATCAAAATAGAAGCACCTGAAAACTCCGATTAGTTTAATTAAAACTTGATTTTATGTAAATTTAGACTTTAAGGTCAAGAATGTTAGATTACAGATTTCAACAATATTTGCGAGTACACTTTATGTCTCACTTTCTAATAATATATGAATTCATTTATTGCATTGATATTAACAAACCAAGGTCTTACTTTTCTTGCTATGTACCTCCAACCATCTAATATCTCAAAATAATCTACTTGACTTCCAGTCACTTAGATTATTTTCCATAGTGGGACATGATCGAAAGAGTTTGATCAGCGTTAGAGGACTAGATAAAAGTGACACTGTTCATAAGTCCGTTGTAAATATTTCATTCTTTTAAAAGGCCAGCCGCAGCTGGAATAGCTCATAGTTAACTTCTCAGAGTGTGAAGTCTAGTGATACGGGTCCAAATCTAACATGGTATGATAGTTGCCTGAAGAATAGAGGTATACCTTACTGCTGATTGTCAAATGTCATGAAACCTGGTTTTGAGATTTCGTTTAGGGTACTTCTAATCACTTAAAATTTATAAATATATGGAAGCATTTAAGTTTATACGTATTGGATTTAATTAGATTCACATTAGATTACAGTCACTGATTCATTAAACACTTTTCGTTAGTGAATAGAAGTAATCAAAGTGACCTAAACGTACAAAAATCCTTAGTACATATAAATTTCCAGAATATAGTTCTTTCCTTATCAGTAAATATTTTCCAAGCAATTTTTATCAGATAATAGTAAACTATATGATGTTATCAACAAAAATCTTAAATATTTGACGAATACTTTTACAAATTTACATTTAGGTAATGTTTTATATGATTATGCATTAGGTAGCTGATTTTACTTAAAAACTAAAAAAAGCACTACATTATATTTTTTAGATTTCAATTAAACTATTTCCAAGATTAACATAACCAATTTACGGTTTGAAATCTATGAATAAGGTCATTTTGAATGTCCCATGAAATCCTAATATTTTTAACGACTAACTGTTCGTAACTGAAAATTTGTTGGCAGCAGTTCATTTTCGTTTCAATGTTGTTGTTTTCTTATTAATAGTTATGAGTTAACAGTACCTTCCATGCAACGTTTCGATTCAAGTAGGGTAGTGAGTATTTTAATGGATCGTAACGTTTTAAATTTAGCACATGATCCTTATCAAGAAAATACTACTGCACTGCTTTAAAGCACATGAAATAGTAGTAATTGCATTTTCGGAGTGATTTAAACTACATATCTAGCAGCTAAATTACAAACAAAAGTATTGTTTATATTTCATGACTTTTTGAAGACAAGTGACTTAATACTTCGGAGAAATTTTATAGTTGGAAAGATATCATTCAAATATTATCAGTTGAACAAATAGAAAAGAATAGACCATCACATTTGGCTTGAAGGAAGTGAATTTAACACAATGTCTGCACTTATTCAGCAAGTTTCTAAAGAGAATAATCTGTGAAAAATTAATCCGAGATTATAAATAACACCTGGAAGAACAAATGTAAATTTCATTACTTGGAAGGCAATTTTAAGTAAAGCCAGTGAAAATGAAAGAATTCTGGTTTATGTAAAACATTATCTATTGCTTTTCTATGAATAAAGTTAGAAGATAAATGATGTAGTCAAGTTTTTAAACAAACATGATTTGGAAACCTATTTTTAAAATTTTTGAGCATTTCTATTTTATGTCAATACATTGATGTAAAGTATACAGCGATACTTTAAAACACAACATACCTAACATTTAAATCCGATAATATATGTTTAATAAAAACAGTCAAAAGATGACAATCTAATCTTTGTAGTCGTAAATAACAATGGTAAATATTTAATTTCTGTGGTGGACATTTAAGTGATAAGCAGTTTTTCACTTCCTTTTCTTCATTCCAGTCGTTTTGACTGTAAATACAGTTTAGTGAGTACAATGTAACTAATTGCTTTGTTCTTAATTACCATTTTCTTTCTATGAATTGTGTAATATTGTATTGATAAGAAAAACCAACTTGTATAAGCGTCAGTCGAGATTTGAGTGAATATATATAGATGGAAATCGCGACCCAAGTATATAGACGATATTAGATATATTTCAAGAAAAAGGTCGGATCAGTATGCACAAGAAACGTTGGAATTATGTACAGCTTAATCCTTGAAATTGTTTCGAAGCATAATTTATGGATTTAACTAAGTGGTTCAGTCTATTCTGTACACCAGTTTTTTTATATTTATACTTAGATAATAAGTTGGCAGTATTTAAATAATGTTAACATCAATTATTTCTTATGACTTACTTTTGTTGTAACTAAAGCAATACATTACAGATTCTATCGCGTTTTATCTGAATAGCGTCCAATTATGTTTGACTTTCTCCAAAGTAATGCGATGGACATTTCATGCTTAATTGTTCAGTGTTGTTATAAATTCACTATATTTATCATACTAGTTATCCTCTTGTTATGTTCTACAATTGATTAGTTGTGTAACATCGGTATCGACCTGTTTATTTGTTTATAAAGTGTAATGAATTACTATCTGAAATACGTTTTTGTGAATATAATTATAAAAACATCAGTACTATTTTCATGTCGTCTTTAAAATGAATCTGATTATATTTTCCATAAATGATTTTCTTTTCTGACTGAGTGAAAGTGAACAAAAGAATTTATCAGTCTTTCATTATGGATGATACTGATCGTTTCAGAAATATTCGAAATTAATTATCAGCGCATGCAGGTTTATTCGTTGTGTACCGTTTGAATGAAAAAAAACAAGCTCATACTACTTACCTACTGTTATTTTTCAAAATGTTTATATAAATCTGTCTACATTATCTTTCATTTTTATTCTAACTTCATATTTATATGTAATTAAAATCTACAAATACACAATAAAAGAACTTATCCAGATACGAAATATTTCAGTAAACGAATAGTTAGAAAAAAATATCATGACAAAAAATGTTGTGTTTTCGTATAAAAACAAAGATCAGAAATTTTCACTCTAAGTCAATCTTTACCTGAATATTACGAAATTCTTCATATAAATCTTTTGATGAACTCCAAAAGCTCTCAGTGAATTGACATTTAGTGACATTTGGATTCCATAAGCTGCCTTGTGATTGTTGTTTTTGTTGACTTTCTAACCAGAATAACACAAGTACATTTATCCACGATTGAGAAAATAAGATTTTCTGAATGTAACCGACAAAAAAAGTCCAACAGTAACAAAATGTTTAATCAGAAGTTTTTTATCCAAAAGGAATTTTAATTAGATAAAGTAGAAATATTTTTTTTTGAATCTGCATGGTATCTATGAAATATTTCAATAATTATCTATAAATGTGTATGTAAAAATTTTCAAAATATCAAATTCAGTTGAATTTGTACACTGATCATATTTTCAAAAAATATAAACCTTGTTTTTACTGTTGCTTACTAATGTCGATATAGACATTGGATGATGTCATGTATGATGTACAAGTTAAAAAATCGGTATAAGGTTATGGTTGAAAACCTTTGGTAACTTAACTTAATGTCGATTTGTTGGTGGTCGACTCTCTTGAATATATTAGAAGTTTAATACAACTTTTGATATCAAAATATCTAATAGATAATATTGGCGGCACTTATCAAGGAATTATCTCATTTTCAGTAGTGTTCAAAAGCACGCAGTATTCGATGTTTATCTTGTTTTATCAAGGAGTTCCTCACCACCATACGTCCATGACCTTGATAAAGATAAGATTTGGAACCTTTACTTCTTGCAATAAACGCTTAAGAATTCAACTGCTGCGTAAGCAATAACCAGCATATATTTTAAACGTCAATGAGTTGTAGTCAGTGAGTGACTATCATTTAATTCCACTGGTAATCACCGTTTTATTTCCAACATGTTTAAACTCAAAAGGTTAGAAAAGTCTTTAACATAAGTATATAACAAATATTTGTTTAAGTCAAATCATGACAATAAAATTGCTTTTTTGTCTTGTTTCACCAACCAACTGAATGCAAGTAGGCAAAATGATTAATTAATGAAATTCAGGACTGACAGATGTAAGATTGTTTGGAAATGTTTTTCACAAAAAAAATTTAAATCGACCGGCTAGACAATCCGTAGTCCGAAAACACTAGCCAACTATTTTTTTTCTGTCTGGGGACTTCTCGGTGTCATTAACCAATAACCCCCAGATGTTCGAACCGAAGATAATTCGTAAACTTCTACCTCAAATCTGCCAGTCATAAGTATTTGGTAATTTCAGAATAGCGAATCAAAGTCTATCCTAATGGAGGAGATCTGTATTTGCATAATTTTAGTTTCTTCGATCGTACTTGATCTTATTTGAATTTTCACTGAAAACCTGGCTTCTGAAGTCAGGAAGTTAGAATATAGTTCATTATTGCTTTGTCTGTAAACATGATTTGTTGCTTTAAGGTGTAAATGTTTCAATGTCTAAATGTTTCAATAGAATAATACCTACCTGATCTTGTTTAGATTGGTTAGCGAAATTCGGAATTCCAAATACCCAATTTAGAAGTTTTTCTATCAGTGGATAAAAGGCCTCTGAAAACAGTTTTTGTATTACGGTTTGATTCCAAGGATATCTCGTTACTGGACTATGTGATTCGAATATATAGTCAATGAAAGCATTTGCTTGATTTGCATAGTCCGATTTTAATTGAGACGAAACTTCATTTGAATTTTGAAGTTGTTCTGCTGATTGAACATGAAGCCATTTTTCGAGACTGTTCTTGATACACATTGGAAAGACGCTAAATGAAGACTGAAATTCATCGGATATGGTACCACTATTTGGATTTGTTAAATAAAAACTTTTGTTCGGTGATTTATCACTTGGATTAAGATTATTAGTTTCACTACACTTAGTTGCGGCTAATGATGTTTGTAAACTGAAGGCTTTCATATACTCTTCAAATTGCTGGACTGTTTTATTCAGAAATAAGTCTCCAATTTCCATTTCATCTAAATATTAAAAATATATTGAGTATAAATCGAATAAATTTTAAATTAGGACTCTGTTGTTACACTGATAACAGTATTAACAAAACAGTAGTGGTAATAGTAATAATACTATAAATATCTGCAGAAAAACTATGAATTGAGAATGAGGATTTGTATTCTACGGTTGTTCGATAAGTCTTTCTGACAGTATTTGTTGAATTTCATGCCTTTGTAGCTTAGTTTATATATCTAGGATAAGTGAACCGATGGATAATAAATTTAAGTTTCATACTCGCTGATTAAAATCTTGATCAAGAAAAGGAATTTCCTGATTTCATGCTTCATAAACTGGTATTGATTTACAATGTATTTTAGCTAGTAACTATATTACCTATCTCAACCAGTCAGTTTGTATGGTCACTTTATCTCATATTTACTAAAGCACATCAGTCATCAATAATAAGTTGGAATATGGTAGTAATATTGCTTATGTTTAATGTTGATATGGATGAAATTGTGTAGAAAATTTACAACACGTTGGGTATTTTCACTGTTGCTATTTAGTCGAATGAAATACACTTTATTTAAATGTAATGCTTCTAGAATTCCTGATAAAAGAAATCAGAAAAATTTACTATTCTGAAAATGAACTTATTCATTTCAAATTGAATAGACTTGTCAAAAGTTCTTATTATCAGTAACGAATATAAATAAATATACGGTTACGATATTTTTCAATAGATTATTCTTAAGTTCATTTTCATATCTGAAGAACAACTTATAAATAAGACATGAGAAAGCTTTAGTAAAATTTATAGTGTGGTAGTGTATAAAATATGTCAATTAATTAACAATATAGAAATTATATTACTAGCTAACTTTCCTCTATTATCCCATGTTGGGTTGTGGAAGACATCTCGAAAAACAAGCTCTGCATGGGTAATTTAGTCTCATAGTCAGAAATAATCGAATTTTATATTTGTAATTAAAATAGCCTACAAATATAAAACTAGTTATATAAGCAGTTTACGAAGCAAATTTTTATGGCCTCCAGAATTCAATGATAATGAAACAAGTCGTGGTTTTAATTACCTTGCTATACTATCGTTTTTTGTCTACGTATCTTCTAGATGTCTTGTTTTTTCCATGATTTATGTACAAAAATCTTATTACAGAATTGATCAATCTCCAAGCTATCAGTCTTTATAGCTGAATGTTAATAAAACCAAAAAATTTTGTTTAGCATCTTATTTATTTTAAATAGAGATTGAAAGTTTTCAAATACCTTAAGTTTCAGATGGAGATATTGATGTACACACCTTTACTTCTTCAAAAGATGAAGGAGTTAAGAAATATTCTAACCGACCTATCACAGATGACAAGTTACATTCGCATAAGCGCTTTGTTTGTATTGAATGTAATAATTTAGACTTAAATTTGATGATATTTGTGTTTTAATATTATCACATTAAAAAGTTTCTCAGAGTAGTCATAATTCCCACACTCATGACAATTTATTCAATTAATAAGTTATAAACAAAGTATGTCAGCAAATGTTTTATTTTACCTATGAGCCTCTTAATTTAGGGATTATTGTTATTTACCACAGACTTTGTTTAAGATCGAGGATAAAAACTAACTAGTAGACGTTCGGTGACATGAGAAAGACTGTATTAAATTGTTGAATGAACTTAATAACCAGTGTTAATCTCTAAAATTGGATTGATTCGATTAGGTTGCAATTCAGTAGTTAAATTATTTGGATTTTAATGATCAAATCACATCCTGAAACTAAACAGTACTACTATTTCTTACAGAATATGTTGAAGTCAAGTGTATAAACACACACCAATCAAAATTCGACAAACTACTCAACCTGATTAAAACCCGGATTTCAGGTGATGTTATAGCTATCAAGGAAGTAAATTATGTACATTATTAAGTTAATTTAATAATTTGTTATTCTAAGCAATTTCCAAAGACCTACCTATGTTCTGTTTATCTGATTCAGTTGAATTTTTATTTCTTGATTCTTGACAGACTAGTGAACCAGTGTCGTCTTGGTTATTGTTATTAAGGAAACGGGAAGAACTGTCACTACTGGAAAAATAACTATTTGAAGTTAGCATAGAATTGAAATTATTCAGAGGTAAAATGTTTGTAGTTTTTAATTTTAAAATTCCATTGCTATCATAAATACAGTCACTTAAATAATTATTATGAAGATTTTTCAAAATATTGTTAAAGCTTAAGGCAGCATCTTTATTTTCCATGCAACTAGTGAAATTTTCGGAAGTTTTCTGATGCTTAATTTCTGGTAAATTGTTTGTACATTCCGAACTATTTCCGGATTCACCATCATTTGGATCATTTATATTTAAACTTAGGTTTTCTCGATTTGTGACTCTGAGATTTTTAGATAAATTGAACATATTTAGTAAATGTAGGTAGAAATTTTGCATTTTTATATCTGAATAAGAAGACGATGAAGGTACAGGGGTTTCATGATTCAAGTTATCTGCTGCTGTATTCTTTGGCTCCGATACTGGTAACTTAACTGTTTGTAAATGCTTCATATAAAATGGTTGGCAGTTAGCCATATCATCCGTCACAGAAACCGATGGAATGAAAGAAAATGTGTTTGAGTTTTCAGTGGTGAATGAGCATTTATTTGGTTGGACATTAGTTAGGTAGAAAGGTAAATTGTCTCTCATCATATAATGATGAAGTTTAGCTGTATCAACCGATTTCAGTTCATTGAAAGCCCCTATCTTATTGGTACATTTCCTGTTTGACATTCTTCTGTGATGCAATGAGTTCGATCGTTTTAATATATTGGTATGTTGCCTAAAACAGTCTGTTTGATTCCATTCTGATTCGTTTGTAAAACTTTTTTCAGCATTGTTAATACTCTCGGACAGATTGTTTTCATTGAGCGGTGTATATTCAGAAGAAATACTGTTGTTTGAACTATCTTTAGGTATGCTCATTGATTCCTCAAACTGCTTATTGTTTGTCATTTGATGATGATCAGATTCTGAACTAAATGTTTTATCATTTGGTGAGTGCAGCATCCCTACTGTTTGACGTTTAGATGGTATTGGATTACCTTGAGCAGTAAAGTGTGAACTCTTCCTTGGTTGGCGTTCATTCTGAACAGCTGAAATAATTACAAATTTTGTAAATCATATGTTAGGGCATTATTCAATCATGAATTTTCAGTGCAGCAAGCAATCAATTGAGAAAAAACAAATTTGCGATCCCGTTTTATAAACTGATTTATCTGATTTGTAAGTATTACATCCTAATCGCAAGGAGTGTTACGATGCTTCACACAAAAGTAAACGGAATCTATTAAATCATAAATATCATCATTGAGCACTGTGTCTGAGAATTTGTACAATAATTTGTCTTATTACCATCTAATGAAGTTAAATTTTTGTTTGTCCTTAGAAATCTTACTTTTTGTGTCATTTTAAACAAAAGTAATAAAGCATTTACATGGTACAAAATAATACAATGGTAAGCTTGACATATTGGACAGAACTGGAGAGAGAAACCCAGGACAGAGTTGGTTGGAGAAAACTGGTGGGTGGCCTATGCTCCATCGGGGGTAACAGGCGTAGGTAAGTAAGTAAGTAAGCTTGACATGAGGGTGTAATTGATACTCCTACCTGAGGGATTTAGTTGATTTGGTTATTAGTTTGATGTGACAGTTTATCAGTTTACTTGTACTGGTTGTCTGGTTTGTTTCCAGACATTGCACAGTAACTCTTACAAAGATAAATCCAGGCTGGTAGGAATATACTCCTACTTCTCATTTGTTTACTATTTATCAATTATGACAAAGTAATTAATAAGCTTTTATCTGAGTCTCATTACATTTCACTCCGAATAGCAGTATAGTAATGTATACTACTAGATCTAAGTTTCTTTTTACAATGAATGCAACACATGAATTTAAGTAATAACTTGTCAGTATATGTCATGAATAAAAACTATATGATAGAGTGACTTGATATTCTCTTCTCATCAATAGTTTTATTTATTCCGATTAGGTATTCTCAATGTTGATATTTTATTAAAGATATTAAAATATTCATAACTCTTAGTGGTCTTCACTAACAGATTTTCGGAAATTCTTTTGTGTTCCTGTAAGACATACAAACTAAAACTCATACAATCTAAATGTTCATTTTAAAATTAATTTTAATCAAAAGAAAAATGTGTTATAACTATTATAGGCTAGAAATAAATCCACTCATTGACTCACTCACCGTCTTTATTCATACCCATACGTATACATTTTTTCAATCGACATGCTTGACATTGATTTCTGTGAGCTTTATCAATAATACACAAACCATTTCCAGCTTGACATCTATAAGTAGAAAAATGAGTAAATAATAATTCATGTATTTAAAATGTAACTCAATTTACTATGTTCCCAACAGACTCAATGAAACAGTCAGTAGGTTAACCTTGTTTTTTTTTTTCTAATTAGGTCAATTTTTTAAAAAACACTTTGATATAATGCGAAGTCAATAATTAAGTCGTTCAATTATATAAATTCAATGGAGATTGATAACTAGATAATCAAATTCATTCTTGTTTTCAAATTTTCAAGAAATATTAGAAAAAAGCCTATAGATATAATGGGTTATGTGCATCCAATGTATATTGGATTGACTGCGTGTTCTAAATTGAATAGTTTATCTGTTGTAGAATTAATAGCAACTATTAGAGTACAAAACCTATGTAGATTAGCTGAATGGTACTTGAGACTGAGCATTGTAATTGAATTTTCACTTCTATGAAAATTTAATCAATAATAGAGAGCATGAAACAGATTTATTTGAATAATCACATACCTGTATATAAGTTTTCGTCTAACCGATCGTTTAAAAAATCCACTACAACCATTACATGCTAGAATACCATAATGTTTCCCACTGCTAATGTCACCACAAACAATACAATATAATCCATTATGACTGACGCGTTTAACGTCACGAAATTTTGAAGTAAATTCATTTATACCATCAGTCACAGATTGATCTGAAGTTGAGTCAGGTTTAGGCAACTTATATGGGTCAAGACGATCATATATATTTTGTTCAGTGGAATTCAAATGTTCGATTGCAAGATCTGCTTGTGTTGGTGTTTTGTTAATCAGCATTGGATTAAACGCTGTGTTCGAAAACGGTTGAAAATCATCATTTGAAAGCGTAATACCATGATTATCATTTTTATTTAATGTTTTCATATTTTTAAAATCTGAATACCAATTGGAACTTCTCATTTCTTCCGTACAATGTTTGACATCTGAACTGGTATTGGGCCATATCATCGAATTCATTGAAGAAGGTACCGATAGCTGACTATTCCTCATCAAATGAGATAACCATAGAGTGGAATTGGAAAGTAACGATGAAAAACTATAAAAATCATTTATTCTTGTAGCTGAGTGTACCGAAGGTGGAATAGTAAATTGATGTGTTGGTAGTAAAGGCAAATCCGATTTATTCCTGATAGATGAAACCAATGAATAAATTCCATTTTCTGTAGATTTTACAGATACATTGTTAAAAACTTGTGAATTTTCTATTCTGTTGTATAATGATTTACTATTTTGCATTTCATTGTGATAAGAATACATTGTGTTTAGAGTATTTGGTTCATTAAACAATGAAACATCAGTTAGATCGTTACTACGGCTGTTTTCTACACACTTCGTTGAAGTACACTTTTCGCGTAGACTGATCGGATCAATATCTATGTTTGGATTGTTTTTATTATAGTTTGTACAGCCTATTCAGATTAAAACAATATTTCATGAAAATTAAAATTTGTTTTATTCTATAATGGTATTCACAATCTTACCTTATTTTCAGACTGGCACAAAATGTCAGTATTCACTCCAGTTTAAAAGTAAAGTAACTGGGGTTTCCAGAACTAAGTCTTTGGACTGACTGAACATTGTACTGATACCATATTCACCACGATAAAATATTTCGTTTAAAAAATAGATTTGTCTACAAACTACTCATAATCTTTACTTAGTTAAGTGACATAATAAAGCATCGTTTAATTTTCATCAAACAATATTTATCGCCCGAAACGTCGGCGATGATGATGATTAGAATAAACATTTCAATAAAGAAATGAAACCTAACGTCAATCTGCAAATTGATTGTAATACAATTTATTTTTGGTTTCAATTAGCTAACTTATTATTTCAGTCGTCCAGTGATAATTCCATTTACTCAACTAATCACAATTTACGACAAGTAGGAAAGTGATCTGTACCAAAAATTAGTTGTAGATATCTTTCGAAAAATTTATCAATCAAAAAAAAACAATTTGTGGTGGTGAAATTTTTTTATATTTCCTTGATTAAATTACAAATAACTATCTAACTAAATAAAAAAAATAATGACGTTCCCAAATCGGGATTAAACTTAACCTTTTTTGAATCAAATTGCACATAAAGATTTCTGGACAATGATTAGAATGAAATAGCACTTTTGCACCTTAAAATAATGTAGTGAATTACTTATTGTGCTAATATGTATTAATAGAAACATTTATGACATTTATTATAAAAATGACAAGACTAGACTTATCACCCTTTTCTTTTAGAAAAAGAAACGAAGGTCTCAAGCATTTTGTTAATGTTGAGTCGAACCAGCGCTGAATACATATGATAAGAAGGCGTCAAGTTATCCAGTACATTAACTTCTTCTCTGTAATGATAACTATGAATACAGTTTTCCTAGGTCGTATTATCGCATTACTGTTTCTTTTGTCTGATTAGCTGTTACACTTTTAGGTTACTAGTTTACCCATATTTTATAATCACATTTGTTGCTAACTATATATAAAATGGTTCAACTTCAATTTTATTTCCATTCGGTAGTAAGTTCTTCATATACTTCTACCTTCTTCTTGGCTTCCACCATTTGGGGATAATTGTCGATGCTACATGTGTATCGGTAGCCGTACTATCGGGTTCATAATGAATTTCTTTCGTATAAGAATAGTTTTAATAGCTCTGAGTAAGCAGTTATTATAGGCCCAATTTAACAAACAGCAGTACCCTGCTTCAACTGTTTATTTAGAAAAAATATCAACTAATTATACTATGATGTTACCTTGGTATATGATAACATAATCACTAATATACGTCACTGAAAAATGATCACGACAGATTAGTATCCTGTATCCAGTTTAAGTCAGCAGTGACTGAAAACAATCGTCTCAGTGACGTGTATAATTACACATAGATTATGATGCTTTGATTTATATTAAACATTATTCTAGCGTTTCATACACTTTCAAGTACATTTTCCTTTAAAATATGGATATATTGTCCGTACAATAAACTAATGAACTAAGCTACTACAGCTGATAAATAGAAAAATACCGTGAATAACAGATTATTACTATAGTTATTTTCTGTCTTTAACTGTATATGTATACGATTAATTCAACCGTAATTAACTGAAGTCTCGTTCTATTCGGGAAAAGGTGGCTTAATTCAAAACAGCGGTATATCAATATTTCTTGGAAGATGTGAAAAAAAATTATGAACACCTATTCATTCAGTTGCTCAGATTGTGAAATGTTTAATGACGATGACTTCTAGTTGACTTCCTTTTATATCATGCTATAACCCTTAAGATTATTTTTTATATGTGTATAAGTCAAAAATAAGGTTTTATTCGAAAAAAATAATTATTGAATCTTTAATTGTACGCTAATTTTTATTTTAAGAAGATTGAACTGGATTTATCGGTAATGATATCTTAGGATTTTTTACCTAATAACAACAATGATATTTTAGCCTTTAGACTGACATTGTTGTCTGAAGATAGTGCTATCGACCACAGATTTGTTCTGGTTTTCTTAGATAAGTGTTATTACTGGTTTGGATTGTGTTGACACGTACTGTAGGATTTATCCTAAAAGCTTTCGTGCATCAGAAATCCATAGCTTAAAAATTCTGAATAGCAAAAAAAACTCATTTTAATAAAAACAATATTAAATCTACTTTTCATCGTTTACCCAAGTAAATATTGTTGTCAACAAGCCACCAGAAAAGTTTAGCCAAACAGAGAGATGTTTTGAGAGGATTTTTCAGAATTCCATCTTTTTAAGTTAAAAATTGAAATCACTTTCACCAGCTGCTCTATCCTGATCACGTTGTGCTGACTTACATCAACCAGGTCGAAAATTTGACAACAGATACCAACTTAGTAATACCTGTATATAAACTGGATCACCATCAATGAGGGATAGATAATTTAAATCTAAGACAGCTTTTTGTTTTGAGAAATATGCTTGGGCAGTCATTATACGAGAGTTTAGAATTCTTGTTTTGAGAAAAAAAGTGTTCAGTGTTGCAAAGCCATAGCCGAAAAATAACTAACAAATAACTATTTTAGTTACATTTCTATACGTTTATGGATTAGCCTAATACTGCCATGATACACTCATATAGGAGACACTCGTAGAATTATACGAATCCAGAAACTTTGTTTAAGCTATTTTATTATTTTTTTCAGTCAATTCCGAAAAGGTTCACGCATAAATCTTGATTTTTCCGTCTCATAACAAAAAAAACCAACAGTTGAAATGCTTATTGTCCTACGATGATTAGGACATCAAAATAACTGACTAGAAAGATCTAGAAAGCTTTCAAATCAATATAATTTTTAAGTTTCAAATTCAGTAACGGATGCTCTATTCAAATAAGCTGTACTTGAATGTTGATAGTGATTTTGTCTGTGTATGATGATGCTAAAAATGTGTCGTAAACTTGCTAAGGCTTCTAACTGATAAGTCACTAACAATGATAAGGTCCATAAAGTGGTCATCTTTGAGTTCATGCACAAATATGATGCCACAATTCTAGTTTATTAAGAATAAGTTAGGAGTATTAATCCATGCAACAATGATTTAACCTTCTACGTAAAACACTGTTCTTTAATGTCATACGAAGAAGTATAGGTTTACTTGCTGAGATGAGTTTTGATATCTTTAAACAATTGTAGTTGTAAACTGCAAGTTAAAATCCTTTTATCCAGGATACAGAAGTTTGGTCTTGATAGTTAAAAAATAACTAGTTAAATAGTTTATCTTAGCAAGTTAGAATGATGTTCCGGCAAATTTAAACCTGTTATTCACCATATGAATAAGTTTTGTTGTAGACTGAAAGTAAAGAAATCCGGATTACGGAGCACAAAGTAGCACATTGAGGAATTGTAAATTAGAATGAGTCAGCTGCTCAGTTTCTTTTGAATTTTACTGGTTTTTCAGATAAGTCTGTTTCGTGGAAAACTTGCTTCCTTACTGTCAAACAATTGTCTTATTTGCTGTACTGTTAGACTCTAAAAAGAAATAATTTGTTTACGAAATTTCTCTGCCTAAATATTTTAATTTATCGATTCATTTTTGAAATGAATGCAATTAAATACCATAGTATATATATAACTGATTACCTTAAAATATACCATAGAAGAATAATGATGTAATAATCTTTTCTAAAATAGTTATGTCAAAGTGATCACCAATTATTGGAAGACTTGTTTGCAAAGGAATTCTCAGTTTTTGTTTTTAACTTTACTTAACACATTTTAATACTCGAATAGGTGTACAGAAATAAATCATTTAATATTTCTATTCGTGACATCATGATATCTGCAAACTTCGTTGATAATTTTGAAGTGATTGCTGTTACTACTGATGTTCGTTTTTCAGCATTTACGTAATTATCTCATTTACATTGATTCAAAAGTTGACTGTTTGTCACACCTTCACACATTTTATTATAAGCTAAGTTCATTTTACTTTTGTAAATATCAAATGAGTTTCATTCTCAATTAATTGGTTAGTAGACCATGAATAATAAAAGCTAACTTAGTGACATAGAAACTAATCAATCAGCAGGAGATTGAAGTATTATTAGAAGAGTGATAGATATAGTTAGTAGAATATTTTGATTAATTTAATAAATTTCATTGTAAATCCACTGAATCATAAAAATATAATTTTCAACATATTAGCTGTTAGTTCTTATGAATTTAATGAAGCCTTAAAGATGGTAATGCGTTTATTGCATGCTTGTTAATCTCAACTAAACTATTTTCCGATGAGATTATTAACACGCTTAAATAATTATTTCTGTAAATGATTAAACAAATAAATAAAAATATTTGTTATATTTTTCAATTTCAATGAATTAATTTCTTCTATAAAAATATTAGTTTTATCAAATGTAATTCTTTGGCAACTTTAATGAATTTCTATTTGGTTCATGTTATCATAACTAAACGTTATGCTTTCGAAACATTTGATGCGTCTTATAATCCGCATTAAGCTAAATATATCTACAGCATAATCTGATTTTACCGTTATAATGTGTAATCATTTATTTTGTTTATTAAGAATAGAGCCATTATACTTAACGCTAAGTGAGCAATGCTTTTACATTTATTCATCCAGCGGGGATAAAAAAAGTTATGGACGTTCTTGGTAAAATCTGTCAGCTTAAACATGGTTTAATTTGAAGTTAGGTGTTTTGCACTAAGTGATGAGACCAACATATCAATAGATTATTTTGTGATTAACTGTGACTGTTACTATCACAGAGATTTTAATGCGTCACATGTGGATGGGCGGAAAAGAAGAATACAAATATACAAGTTTATAATTTGTGTTCTACAAAGAAGAAATGCAATCATTACAAACAGAGATTTTTTATTGTTATTTGATCACATATATATTAAAAGTTGACTGAAAGTATAGAAAATAAGATTGAAATTCACTGGTCGAAATGTAGAGTTAATGCCGCACAGACTAAAATAAAATAAATTTCAGTACTCGCTAATTTTTAGTGATACGTTAGTGAAAACTATTTTCCAGTTATACAGAGGAGTTAAAAAAATAACCCAAATAACCAATAAAAACGTACATAGGTTCAAGATATGTCAGGTATATATGTTTTGTTAGGTTAATTAATTAATTAATTATTTTAGTATCATCGATCCAGTGTCTTTTCCAAATTGTATCAGAATTTCAACGAAAGTACACTTCAATTTTCTTTGAACGACAGCTTACTATCTGATCAGTTACACATGAGAACTTAAATATACGTAATAAAAATGAGGTATAAAGATTCAATTCCAGAGAATAATCGATAAACTTCAATAGATACTTAAACTTTTACGAGGAAACGATCACGAATTTAGAAAATCATCACTTCTAGACAGAAATTGCTACTACTAAATCTCCAAAATCAGTAGGCCACAATAAAAATAATGGTAATTCTAACCTCTCCATAACATACAGAAAATTCGAACCTCTTATTCTCCTCTACAGATTCGCTTTTATTCAAAGGTATATGATTTTACTCAATATTACAATATGTAGGAGTTTCTGGCCGAAGGTTAGTGCTTTTCTTTGTTTGGTTAAGGTTCATTTCATCTACTTTGAAAATGTGTGTCAATTAACATTTAGTCAAAAGTAGCTTCCTCTCATACTAATTATCTGTCAATTTAAAAGATATAATCCGGCAAAACATTGGATTAACATATTTTGCTAGTATGGTCTAGAAATATGTAAGTAAACAGATAATAATAGTATAATACGACTGTTGAATGATTGATTATTTCTAATATTCGAATGTCTTTCAGTTTAATTCATTTTGTTGTACGCTAGTCAATTTAACAAGGTAATAATCTGATTCAAGTTAATGGTTGTGAATAAGATAATATCATATCATTTTATATTACTATAAGATAAAGATCTTACCAGCACTTTATTTAATGAATATTCATATTCTTTTAAACTTACTTGTATCAAGTGAATCATCCGCTCAATTACACTACACATCTGTAAGTACAGTTAGGCACAAGCACGAATGATTTTTCAAGAATATGACTTTACACTAACTCTTAGTTCAGTTATTAAATTTACCAAACATTAGTATCGCCGGTTATTCAATCGAAAATTGAATCAGGGATTTTAGAATGTTTGTTTCAAATTCTTGATCTTCTATTCCTTAACTAAGACGTTCGTCATCGATATGCTGTCAGACTTGATTTGTTTGTAAGGAAAAATTACGTTTAAGCTTAACCATTCTTCTTAAACTTGAAACTAATTCCTATTTAATATGCTTTAGAAATGTCATTTATAAAATAAATATTACTAATTAGAAAGGGTTTTATATATTTTAGCCTTTTTTTATTCTCACTTATCATGCGATATTGGCTTAAGTGCATATGAAGCAGATCCATCAGGATAGCAAAAAAGTTTATATTGTAGGCGTAATCTAAACATCGCAAAAATACCAAACCTTCATCAAGAGAATTCTTACTAGTTGAATGAATCGGTGGCCACATAGACTCAGTAGTTTACTGAATAACATGGCATTTGAGGTTATATCTGTTAAGTTTGAATCGAAGTTTGCCCTAAGTTTAGAGACAGTCATGACAATAAATTTATGAGATTTTCTGAAGTGAATCTCAAAGCCTGTCATTTTTAATCTATTGATTATAAATTGACTGGTCGATTGTGAAATGACGTATGAAGAATTAAATTAAATTCTTTACATATTTTTTTTCCATTTTCAGCTCGTACCCTGGGTTTTTATTTCCTGCTGGAATAAATACATGAAGTAATACCTCTTAAATCAATAACGAGCATCAAATTTTAAGTGATCTTGGGACTTAAGACTACATTTCTTTGACTCTGGAATCGTATAGACACTAAATAATGTCATCACACTCTGGTTATCATTTTTGTTTGTGAATTATATCGTAAAAAACTACAATTACGGTAATCGCTTTTTATCAGTTCATCCTACTGATTATTACTGGTTAGGTTGGGTCACTAACGGCATGCCCAACCCACCTCATTTATACGGGCTTCATACCGGCGATAACGCTAGAGGAGCTGCAGGCGGAGTTCTTACTGAATACAGTGAGCTACAAAAAATTTCATATAACAAGAAAGATTTATACAATATATGTTCATAAAATTTATGTCAACCGTAAAATAAGCCTATAGGGAGAAAGCTGAAGATAATTGATAATACATAAAGTTTGCAAAACAACCACTAAATTTTATCAATACTTTACAAAATAACATTATAACCAGAACATTGGAATTGAGATAGGTTAATTTGGTCTAGAATCAGTGATGTTTTGTCAATAAGAGTAATATAAGAATCAATATTCCTTCCAAAATAGATTTTTTATTATTCTCTGTTACTAGTGATAAATTCAAAACAGAACTTTACGGATACAAAAACAAATTGACAGTCTATAATTATTTTAACTACACTTAGCTTTATATTATCTGATACTTTGTAAATTTGTTGACTGTAGGAATAAACTAAAATAATGAAATTATCTCACTGTTTATTGAATAATAATAATCACTTACTTGATGTATTATTACTTTCGTTACAACTCATCTCCATAGTATGATCAATTCACTTAAAGTAAAGTAAATATTGTGTCCTCTGTTTATCATGTAAATTATACAAAGAAATAAATAATTCAAATTGTTTATTAAATATAATATAATCTAACAGTTTATTTAATTAGAAAAGAGGAAATATCTTCAGACCAACTTGTTTGCTGCTCTAGTGTGTTTTGAGAATCGAAGGCAGTAGGGAGAATAAATGGAAAATACCTACAGTCTAAGGCAGATTGATATTTCATGAAGATAGTCATTATTTCAGTTTATGTTTGCATACTTGATTTCTTTTTTTTAATCCTAAGAGGGGAGTTTACATCTATGAAACTAACCATATTCTTCATTATTCTGCCCTTGAGGAGGTGAAGAAACTTTTTAATCGAAAGAGATCAAAATACAAAAATCGGAGCAATCAGCATTATTGTTGTACAGTCTGTCCCACAAAATTGTTGTCTATTTGTCATATTACAAGATAGTTTGCTATTTGCTCTGTCAAGCGCGTGCTAAAAACTCAACCGAAAGCAGTACTCAAACCTCACGCGAACCAACAATCTAACGTGAATTTTTTATCATCTTATTGTGCAACACTATACAGTAACAACATATATGATATGTGAAACATTTCTACTCACTTATATCCAATTTAGGAAAATAAGGAAATCAAAGGAGAGAGAAAATGTCAGCCTCGATTTCATTGGTTCTAAAGGTTTGAGTTTGTCGATTTTTTGACATAAAGCATTCTTGTGGCAGTTAAAGAAGGGATAGAGAAATTGTTTCATTTTCAATATTTCATCTTCAATCTAATTTTCTAGGATAATAATAATGATAATAATAATTCGTAAGTACGGTAAAAACGAACCAGTTCAGCAGAAAAAAATATTTCCAGTCTACTAAAACCTATTCAATGAATTTTCAGCAAATATTATTGAACTTCAGTAATTCCTTGAATTAATTAAATTGTGAATATAAGTGTCTGAGAATAAATTATCAACTACTTCAACAAAATTGAATATTTGTATTCCTTTTTTTTTAAAGTTAGTTCAGTTTCAGCGAATAATTTAGCAACAGCGAAAAATTGAATTACTCAAAATCATCTGCGCAAATAAAAAGGAAGAGAATCATAATTTTAAAGAAAAAATTAAATTTTAAAATTAATATTTCTTATTATTTATTGTAGATGTATAGTTTTATGCGTTTTTCATTGTCTGTCGCAGAATGTATTTATCAAAATAATGCTTCGAAATCTATGAAAAGAATTAAAAGATTATTGTTTCATTGTACCGTAAACTTGACAACGGAAATGTACATACATCTTCAAACGACTAACTAGGTTTTTTTCACTTATAAACGAAGTAGCATGGAATTCGACTTTCTTATGCAGTGAAATCTTGTAATAATAGTTAATCTGTACGTTTTACCACTGAGGATAGTTAATGATAAGGTGTATAATCCAAAATATCTTTTTTATGGAATAATCATAAATTCTTGATCTCCTTAACCACTGATAACACATATTTGTTAACAATCATTTGGAATTCTAATATTTTGAATTTCATTTGACTTAACACATTAGCATCAATGCTTATACCAAAATTATCCAAATTCGTCATCTGACTGCGCTATGTATTTCAAATTTTATCGAGTTTTTAAGTATTAATAACCAGTTCAAAAAACTGTGTGCCCTCAATGAAATGTAGAATCACTTCGAAATGTGATCTTTGTGATAGATGACCAAAATACTGAGAAATAAATTTTAAGCCTTGAATGGTTGAGAATCTTTTTATCACAAGCAAAATCAGGTTAGCCAAGCCCATTAATATTGCACTTACACTGACCCAAATAGAACATCCAGGATTTGGACTGCATCCCGATCTACTCAGCTATCATGAATTAAACGAGACATGCACATGCCATTTTTAGAATTCAGAATAATGGAGAATACAGCCTAAATGAAACGTGTGACTTCAACCAATAACATCTAAATTAATCGATGTATTCACTCGTGCTTGACACGTTGCATCATGAATAATTCGATCAGCAAAAGCTAATGTGTTAAAAAACGTTTAAGTCAGTAATTAATTATTCACTCAAGCCAGTAAACCGATTTGTAGGTAAATTAACAGATCATATATATATTCATGTATTTTGAGAGTAACGATGAAATACATGCCAGTTTATGGGCATATTTACATTGATACAGAAAAGCATATGAAATATAAGATAAAAACACGAAGACATTATTTAAAAAGACATAATTCACATAGTTTTTCACTGAACAAAAATTTCAAGAATACAAAGCTATAAATCAGTGTATTTTTTAGTTTGGATAGTGGTTCAGACTTCATGTCTGGGAATGAATAATTTTGGCCTAAGGTGATTCCACTGTTGTTACAGAATAAATGAAATCACCTACCACTTACGAGAAGAGATCTAAAATAGCTAACAAAGAACAAGAGTAATAATAACTCTGATAGATCTGTGGTTTTAGATACGAAAAATTGTTTTGTGACCAACGGTTATAGATGGATTTTATTTAAACTAATCAACAGTTCTATAAACATCATTGTATATATATATATATATATATATATATATATATATATATATATATATATATATATACATATACATATATATATACATAGTGAGAGAAGGAGAGAGAGCTCACGCTTAAAGTCCGTTACTAATTTATTCCTTTTCTTCAGCGCGAATGACATTCGAAATTGTCTACTTTATGCTGTAACCATATATCAAACTTCATGAGAAGATGACAAATCAACCATAATTCCGAAAAAATATTGAATTATGTGGAATTGTAATTGCATTATAACCTACTTCCGACAAGAAAACTATCTTATTCCCTAGTATTTTTCCTAATCCTTCTCCTCACCAATTTACTAAATTTCTGTCCTATGTAAAGTAACGAAATTTAAATCATTTAGCCATAAAATTAATTTATTGTTGTCTTGTTCTCTTATTTAACTGGTTGGTTTTCTACTGATAACTTCAAATTGTCATTCGCTGTTTTGGAAAGTATTTTCTTATTTATACTAATTTAATTAATTGTTGCAGTTTGAATGTAGCAAAAAACAAATAACACTAATTCTTTTCTTTGTGTTACAATTATTCGACGATTTTAATTGTTATTACTGCTTATAGTTTTCGAATAACCTATTTATAATTTTAGAAGAGAAAAGTACCTAATCGCATGAGGAAATTGATCCTTTTTCCAGGAATTGTGACATAAAATTGTTTCTTAGTCTCACCATATGGTTTTAAAGCTTCTTTATGTAAAATAGATTATTCTCATAAACTCCTTGTTTGTTCGGATGTTCAGATGTTCAGATTACTAACTAAATGGATTAATAACGACCACCTATCTAGGAAAATTTACAAAATGGTACTGTGAAAGAAATGTCGTAATTCTACTCCTGATATCTGTAAGAAAGGATGATCTGATATTGAAATTAACTTTCTTGTTTCTAATGTATATATGATGAATGCCTGTCAAACTGCAAAAAAGTACTTTAAAATAATGATAGACATGGTTGAAATCATTTCTGACACTTTTATGTTGACCAACATTTAGATTTAGTACTAAACATCTTCCATTGTAGTTTTCGTCATTTTTTCACCTAGCGTCACTTAGCAGTTATAAGAATAGGTTAATTCAGAGCTATTGTTGATGTTCCAATGAGTAGAAGTTAGTATTTCTGACGTTTCCTCACGTAATTCAAGTCACTTCTTCGAAGTAAATAACCGAAAAAACAAAGTAAAAAGGAAACAAAGCAGAATATTTTTAGTCCAATCAAAGTTATAATAGGTCTGAACATGTCGATGTCATATCATTTTTCGATCAAGGTGATTCTGTGTGAGATTTTGTGATGTTGTTTGTGTGTTATATGGAAGGTTAGGAATTTATGACATGAAGAAGTGGAGTTGAATAAATAACAATAATGTGTGTGTGTGTGTGCCAGAAATGTCATATTTGAACAGAGAAATGAGAAGACATATTTTGTGAGATCGTACCATTTCGTGCTTTCTCGTCAGTCACATACAAGCAACATGTTATCCGTGTAAATACAGTTTTAAAGATTAGGTCAAAATTTCTTATTTAGCATGACATTCACTCACTAGAACCATGGTAAACAAAGGTCAACATACAGTTGTTTTTGAACACATAAAGTTGGACTTTTCCGATCAATCAAGATAGCTTCGAGTAGTTTGAGTGTGTGTGGGTTTTGATGACATGTCACAACTCTAAAGGCTGATTTTGGGTCAATTTGATGACCACTCATCATTAGATGTTTTGCAATGGACGAGGCTGGGTTTCTTGATCGATTTTGAGATGACGGGCTAGGTTGATGAATCATTGATTTGATTAACCATTTTGAAATATATTCCCCTATCCTGTCTTCCAATCGGCGATCTGTTCAGCTGCATCATAAATTGATGAAGTTCTCCGGTACTTCCACCACTCACTTATAAAACACTTTTCTCCAACATCGAACAGCCCAAATCAATGATTAAGTACAAAATGAACATAAATGATAAAGAAATAGTAAGTTATATTTATTTAAAAGTATGTGGCTTCTACTTATCTTTATAATCATCTCTCTTAAAAAACTATAGGAGAGTGAATAAACGGTGTCTTGTATCTAACATTGCAGTGAGATGAAGTATGGCAGATATTTAAATTATTATTCATATTTTTGAACCAATCATGTGATTGTATTAAATAGAAAGATGATATAGTCTTCCAGTCAAATAAAGTCACATTTCATACTTAACAAATACTTCACACATGAATAGTTTTTTGAAGGTTTCGGACAATTCAGTTAATTAAATCATGTTATAATTATAGAAATCTTTTCGAAAACAATTTTTGACAGGTCCCTAATAAAAAGATTGTTTAGTTAAAGGAATGATTGAGAGCATATTCATTTATATTTTTCAAACACGTTCATTTATTCAATGAGGTGTTTATAGTATGTTGGTTGT